CTGGACGTCGAGATATTATGTCCTAAAGTGATCGATTATTGTATTTGGGGCATGAAAGTTTATGAACATACAATATCCGATATACGTAGAAGCTCTACCAATCTATAAAAGATACATGTATTATGATCAGCATTTGTAATATTCTTTATGTTCAGAAAATTTCAGAACATTACACATAATCTTTAAAAAGTTATGAGAGATCCATTATTTCTGATGAGCACTGTATATTTTCTCTTTTATTTTTATTTTATATATCATTACACAATCATATTTAGTATAAATTTCGTCTCTTTTTGATCAAAAATTTAAATAATCATCAATGAATCACTTTTTGTATACTTTCTACTTTATTTTCATTTTTATTTTCACCTTTATTTTCTTTGTACTTTCCACTCGAAAATTTATATTTTGCTATTGGTGCATATTATATTCTATTCCCAACAAAAACATTCTTAATTCTTATTTCAATATATTTACTCAATTAACTAATACATTACCCACCCTCTATATGGTTTCAATATCACCTCGACTCCTTATGGCCTCGAGCTCACAACCTTCCAAACCAACACATTAAATTTTGACTACACTTCCTTCAGAGCAGTCTTGAGCTTGTTCCCAGTTTTTGAAAAGCTTTTACACTAAAGAATATTGTTCTACAATGTTTTCTAGATGTTTTCTATGAAGCCAGGTCTGGGAGAATACGTTAATTGGTTCATAATCATCAATATTCTCTCTTGAACATATTTCGTGATCTTTTTAGAATTAGGGTTAGGGTTAAGCTATGAAACAGGATGAAACTACCTTAAAGAATCTTCGGGTAAATTTTTACAAAGATTTTTTGTTGACAATGTCACGAAATGGCTTAGGTTGTCTTTTTTGGCTTCTTATAAATGTGCATTTTTTTCTTGCTTGTTAAGAGCTTGTGACCTTCCCGACCCTGGTAAATTTTCTTTTTTCCTATTTCTCTTGTATTCGGCAAGAGACCATTATCCCGTCATCGAGTTACGATCATTTTTCTTGCAACTTGCACCCCAATAAAGTTACTCATTTTACCCTTGTCAAAGTCGGTCAACTGGAGGCGGTGTGTGTTGTATTTACAGCCAACAAATTTCGCCCAGTGTATGTTTAAAAATCGAAGAAAAAAATTTGCAGTCAACAAAAAGGGGAAAACGCCACATTTAAATTTATGATGTTGCACATCCAAATCGGGCGTTATTTTCTGTGGCGACTGCGCATAACGATAATAAAGACTGGTTGTACGAAGATTGCATAAAGTGAGGTTTTTTTAAAACTGATCGAAGTACTACGTATAAATAACTTTCTACATGTATTCATTTTCTGGAATGATGCACTTCGTTATTGTGGCTTAATTTCTGCATTTTTGTGTTGTTTGATGACGTAGTCGACTGCTTTTGAACAAAACTCCGTTATACGTAACGGTAATTGTAACTTCTTTTGTCTGCCAAAAATAAATCGGGAAAAGATATAAAATTCGATAGTTTAAACAAATGTTTTAATGTGTTCTTAGTTTTCGGAGAAAATTAGTTTTTTTATTCGATAAAATTGTTCCTTTTGCCTTTTTATTTTTATTTCAAGAATTATCCTGAACCAAATATTCTTTCAAAAAGATGAGTGATTTTATGCAACTTTCACAACATATAATTTCACCAACACGTCATGAAACACATCCTACGCTCTCGACCGCCTCAGTTGAAAAAGAAATACAACGCTCAAACGTCCTGATTATAGGAAAAACTATACTTCTATCTTTTGGATATTCAAATAATTGCAACCACAAATTTTCCTTAGAACCTCATACAGATGAGTTCGAGAAGAAAATTTTAAAAAATACGAACAAAAAGACACCAAATTGCTTTATGTTGTTTAGAACTTGTTTCTCCAATTCTGCAGCAAACAATTTGCACTGTAAAGAGCAATTGTGCCCGTTATCTGAGAATAAATTTAATTACCTTCGCTTCATCTCGAAGATCAGCAAAATTATCTGGAAAACTCATAAAGACCGATTATTTGATATTTTTTCAAAATTATATGATGAATTAAAGGCTAAGAAGACCGAATTGTGAGTTTTCTTTTTGCAAAAATCGACTTATTAATAATTTAAGCAAATTATCTTATTTATTTTTGTATTAGTAGAAAATTAAAACCAAACAATATGCGTACCCAATACTCGCCTTTTCGTGACCCAACATTGTATACGATGGTGTCCCCAGAAAATTGTGGATTTTCAGCGTCGCATGCACCAATTGACTCAAATACTATGGCGTCTCCGAAAAATATGGAACCCTCAACGTCACATGCATCAGTCGGATCAAGTATTACAGTGCCTCTGGGAAATTTAGAATATTCAATGTTTCATGAATCATATATAGTGGTGCTTCCGAAACAATATCAACAGGATATTTTATTACACAGAAAATACTGCGACAACTTTGGATCCGAACGAGAATTTTCAATGATTTATAAACAGAGGAATCAGTAAATTTTTTGTTTAGCAATTATTGAAAAAATTACACTCTTCCTATTATCTAGAAATTGAAAGTTATCAATTATAAATTATCACTTTTAAATTATTAAATTGTACTCTTGTTATAATACATACATTCAATCCTGATACATCAGCATGTCTGATTTGTTGAATTCATTGGTCCCTGGAAATAAGCAATAAACAAGTAATATTAACCATTATTTAATCTTATGCTAAAAAGAAATACAACCGTAAAGTCTTAAGTTTTTTTTCGGAAGTGTGTCTATAATTGAACTTCTTGTTATTTTAAATGGAACGCAAAGACAATTTATTAAAAATCTTGAAAGGTAAAAAGATAATACATTTAAGTTCGATATAGAGCATATCGATATGGATGTAAGCAGATTTTCTCTTTATTTGCCAACAAAAGTGAAAAATCTAACGGATACCGATACGTGTACATGTATATGTATCGGTATAAGGTAGGACTTGGTAATTACGTATTGTGCTCTGTTATAGTATAATGAGAATTTCATCGGTTTAATGAAACACAAGCTGAAACAGCAGTCATACACAGAGACGTAACGTCGGGTCCTCAATGATGCCACTGATCAAAAGTAAATTCTTAATAGATTCTGTGTTTTACCAAATTTAGGGATAATTTTTGCACATAACGATAATTTATGGCCGGAATTATGTCAGGGGCGTGACAAATATTAGCTAATATCCATTTATTATAGGGAACCTCACCCTTCCTGAGACTTCACTTAACACATGCACGTGAGATTATATTAACAACTGAGCTTTGGCCATCCCCATCCTAGAATATTAGTTAATATTTGTCACTCCCTAATGAAAAAAACATTCAGAAAATCATACTGTTGCAGGTATGGATTAATCAGGTTTAGAAGTCTTTACCTACAACGATGGATGGGGCAGTGTAAACTAATAAATTATAAAGCCAGTGCTGATTGATATCTACGGATATCGTTAGTTGTGTTGGGTTTCGAGAATTACAAGGAGGTGATTCGAGTTTAGGTGAGATAATTAGGGTTTATGATTTATACATTGGTTTGGTTGGTAATAATATTAATTGTTATGATGTTTCTAGATAAAAGCATTAAATTCGATCGATCCTATTCAATACATAATAACGATTTCACTTAACAACCCGGTGCCTTTTCTGGAACAAAGGTTCTAACCATCAAAATAATGTTAACGTTTACTACAGAAGGGATTTTGCAAGTCTTAATTTACTTGGAGAATAATTGTATGCAATTTTAATTCTATTTTATTGACAAATATATTCTTTATGTCATAAAATATATTTTCATAAAATTCTATTCAAAATTTCTTATTAAAATATTTTTAAATAATTTTTTATTCCTACTTAAATGTTAAAATTTTAATTCGTCACTTTTGACACGAAATTCCGCAAATACTATTATGTTAATGTGCTTTGTGATATTATGAAATCCTGTTCCTAACATCCTAAAGAATATATCTACAAATTTTCACGACTTTTGAAAAATTCCTCATTAAGGTATAAGCAAAAAACACGTCCACCATTACTTTCGCCGGGGACTATATATTATGCGAATTTAATTTATAATTTGATTTATTAAAGAATTTAAAATTCTTTATTAATTAAATTATAATAAAAAAATAAAATTTTTAATTCATTATATTTATTTTATATAAATTTTAGTTTTTCTTAAAAAATTATATTTTTTTATAGATCTGATAATTCATTTAGAAATATAATTATTCAAAATTTTATTATAACTTTTAATTTTCAAGGTTATATTTTTGGAATTCCGTGTTATAATATCAATATATAAATATATTTTGAAAATATAACAAATATTTAAAGCAAAATAATTTATATTCTTAATTATAAATGTATATTTATAATAATGATTTTGATTTTGATTATAAATTATCAAAATAAATAGTTTATCTTTTGTTATTATCTTATATAGTCTATTAACTAGCATTATAATCTTGTATTAGTAAATTAAATATAATAAAGTTACAATTTATATTAATCAATCAAAAGTTGTAACTAAACTTGATAAAAGTTCTAGTTACTATAAAAAGTATTATTATGACTTTCAAAGAATGAAGATAAATTTTGGTATATAAATTCATAGAAATATCATGTATAATGAGTTATTAAAGAAATAAAACACAGAAAAAAATGATAAATTCAAATATTTTGCCATTAAAGAATTATCAGAAACTAAAAAAAAGAGAATTTTATTTATTATAATAATAATAAATACTTAATTTAATATTTATTTTTATCTATTTTTTAATTTACAAGCTAATAATTTTTATTTAATATAACTAAATTAAACAAAAAATCAAGTTCATAAAGATAAATATTAAAGCATATTTTTTACTATACTTTTTATAGAACATATCTCATTTCACTAGAAAAATACTTTTAAATAAAAGAAGAATATTTAATTCAGGAAATTATATTATTAGAAAATTAAATAAACCAAAATATAATTACTTATACATTTTTTTAAATTATTATAAATAAAATTTTATTCAATTAATATTAGTTAAAAATATACTATTATTATTTAAGTTTTAAATTAAATAAGAAATTAAAATTTTAATGAAAAGCATATAACATATTATTATTTTAGTAATTTAAATTATTATAAATAAATTTTCATTTAATTAATATTAATTAAAAATATACTATTATTATTTAAGTTTAATACAAGCCTTAAATTGAATAAGAAATTAAAATTTTAGTGAAAAGCATATAACATATTATTAGTTTAGTAATACTAGATCTTTTTAAAACACATTATTTTTTATCTTTTTATTTCTTTATTTATTAATTACTTCTAATTATATCATAAATTTTATTATAATTTATATTATAAATTTTACTGTAAATTTTATTGCAAATTTTATTATAAATTACACTATAAATTATATTATAAATTATATTATAAATTATATCATAAATATAAACTCAAAAAATATATAATAAAAGAAAAAAAGTAATTAAAAAGAGAGAATTGGTAATAAAGTAATAAAAATTTTACTTATTTAATACAATAAGTTCTTATAATATCTTTTTATTTTTTATTCTAATAATTCCTTATTGTAAAGAGAATTTTGTCATTTTAATCCAGAAAAATTAAGATAATTATTTTAATAATTGCAATTTAAAAAGATTTATACTTTGGATCCAGAAAAAGTGAATATATTATTAATATTTGTGAATACATAAACAAAATCTAATTAGTAATTAAATATAATAATATCTAAAAATATTGGTATAAGTTTTTAGAAAGATTAAGAATAAAAATAATCTTAATTAAATTCTTTTTTCTCATTCAAATTACAATTAGCAGCTAATTTCTATAACTGGTTCCTAATCTATAATAATATATTTAGAAGAAATAACTTATTTACAAGAATTAAGTAAAAAAGACATTACTAAAAAATAATTTAATATAATGAAAACAAGTTCCAATTATTTGAATTAAATATATGAAAATAATGCTAAAAAAAGTCTAATGAACAATTACCATGTCCTGTAAAAAAATAAAAAAAATAATCAGGAAAAGATTCGGTTTTTTAATCACCAGTTTTGTTAACAAACTTCCGGATTAAAATCTGATGAAAATCTGATTGAAAATCCGGTAACTTTGGAACGCGATATCTCGTGATCTACAGATCCAAGTCGGACAAAAAATACACCATTCAATTTGTCTAGTCTTGGTGAATCGAATGGTAGTATATTTGTCCGGGTTGGATTTGTAGATCACGAGATATCGCGTTCCAAAGTTACCGGATTTTTAATCAGATTTTCATCAGATTTTAATCCGGAAGTTTGTTAACAAAATTGGTGATTTTCCGGAACTAAAAAACCGGATCTTTTCCTGATTATTTTTTTATTTTTTTACAGGGTTAAAAGATTGCTATGTTATTCCAACCATAAAATTTGATAGCAAAACTGATAAATTTCAAAAATTAATAACAAAATGAACACAAATATTTATATTCATATATTAAATAATAATTTGTTGGATGAATTTATATTCAGCAAGAAAATAATTCCAAACATATTCAGTAAAGCAAAACAATAATTTTTTAATAACAATATTACTTTACTTGATTAGTCTACCTAGTTTTCTCTATTTTAAATTCAATTAAAAATTTATAAAATTTTTTTGTTCACTTTCAAATAAAATAATTTGTGGAAAAAACTACAAATTGCTTAAAAATTTACTTTTGTGAAAGAATCAGTAATATAGATAAATATAAAATAATAATCTTAGTTATTGTAATTCTTTAATAATAACTAATATTTTCTTAAATTTTAAATATTATTTTCAGATCAGTTACAATAAATAAAAATTAAAAATTCAAGTTAGTTTAAATTCAAAAGATAAATAACAATAAAAATTTGACATGAATAAAATTCACTTTTTTTAATTTTCAATGATGAAAGATTTGAATCTTGTCATTTTTTCTTGTTTTATTTTTTTAGTGAGTCAATATAAATATTTTTGATTTGTTTTTTATTTGAATTTGACAAATAATTTATAATTATATCTCTTATTTTTATTAGAGTTAAGATTAATATAGAAATTTTATCTTGTTTGACTTTTGTATTAGATAAAGTATTATTAATTCATTAACTTATTTAATATATACAAAATATATTTTTACATAAACTTGAACATGTTTTTATAAAATAGTAATTTAATTTAAAAGTTAAAATTTGAAAAAAATTGATTCTAAAAATCTTTTGTTTTTAATATATAAATATGATATTCAATTTATAATTTATTATGATGCAAATAATTTAATTATATTAAATACTATATCATTATTAAATTTTTTGAAGAATTATTATTTTCAAATAAATTATTATATATGATATAAAAAGAATTATTATTTTTAAATAAGTTATTATATATAATACTAATTATAATTTTATATAATAAAATTTAATCAATCAAAAATAATATATATAA